TTATCAACTTGTCGGTTCTCTGAACCATTCATCTACAACAGTTAGGTATCATTATTCCGAAACGTATCGCCTACACAGTAGGCTTCTTTAGTCGAATACAGAGAAGACAGCAGAAGCAGTAGAGATGTAATGACGATGTAATAAGCTCTTCACTCTTGAAAACGTTGTTTCGAGGTGGTCAGTCACTCGAGGAGCCTGGAAAAGTGTTCTGATCCATAGTCTGGAACATTGTTACATACAGAGACTGCTGTGAAGAGACACAGACACTACTGTGACTGAGCACAGACACTGCTGTGAAGGGCGGGTAATCTCACTCAGTCCAACAGAAGGAACATCGGATGTCTTCCCACAAGTCCGAGTAATATCACAAGGCAATAAATGCCAGAGGAAGAAGTAACGAAATAATTACTGAGACACTGAAGACGGGACACCACCAGCATATCTCTGCTGGTGAAAGTACAAATAGCTGAATACCAACAAGTAAATGAAATCAGGTGAATATCAACAGAGGATTATGTTTTATTGACTTGCTCACTGGTTTTTCTGTCAGGTGACAGTGTGGAGGCTGTGCTGTGTCTCTGTGGGTCATCGTTGTCAAGAAATCTGCAGTGATCTCGTGTTTACATGGTCGATGCTGATGTCTCTCCAGCAGGTCCTCTGGTCAGGTAATACTTTGATCCCATGGAAGCTGCCCTCACGTACACATGATGATGATCACAACACAGGCTGCAGCGAGAAAGACAGAGAGAGAGAGAGAGAGAGAGAGAGAGAGAGATCCCAAGTAAGAAATATACAGGTGCGGGAAGGGATAACTAATTGACTAGTGGCCAGTGATCACACACTTGTTTCGATAACTTGACAACATTGGTGGAGGGGAATACTTTATTCTTCAGAGCCGGAAGTAAGATACTTCCGGCCACTGGGCACAATAAAAGCCGCATATGACCACTTAGTGCTAATATGACCAAAAGGTCTGAGACCAAACCAAGCCGTCGCTCGCTTTAACTCACCTCACACAGAAGTAATTCAGAAAAAAAACAAATCTAAGAGATGACACTACAGTACTACTGAATATTTATAGGAGCGATAAACCCCTGTGGGTCATTCGGAACGAGGAATGGCGGAGGCTTGATCATCCACCAGCTGAGAGACAGACAGCTCAGGTGGGGAAGTGGTTTTGAAGCCCTTATAGTGTGTGTGTGTGTGTGTGTGTATGTGTGTGTGTGTGTGTGTGTGTGTGTGTGTGTGTTGTGTGTGTGTGTTGTGTGTGTGTGTGTGTGTGGTGTATGAGTGGTGTGTGTGTGTGTGTGTGTGGTGCAGGTGGTGTGTGTGGTGTGTTGTTGTGTCGGTGTGTGTGTGTGCATGTGTGTGGTGTGTGGTGTGTGTATGGGTCTGGTGTGTCGTGTGTGTGTGTGGTGTGTGTGTGTGTGTGTGTGTGTGTGTGTTGTGTGTGTGGTGTGTGTGTGGTGTGTGCGGTGTGTAGTGTGTATGGTGTGTGTGTGTGGTGTGTGTGGGTGTGTGTGTGGTGTGTGGTGTGTGTGTGTGTGGGGTGTGGTGTGTGTGTGTTGTGTGTGTGTGTGTGTGTGGTGCGTGGTGTGTGTGTGTGTGTGTGTTGCGATGGTGTGTGGTGTGTGGTGTGTGCGGTGGTGTTGTGTGTATGGTTGTGCGTGTTGTGGTGTGTGGTGTGTGGTGTGGTGTGTGTGTGTGTGTGCGAGTGGTGTGTGTGTGGTTGTGTGTTGGTTGTGTGTCGTGTGTGTGGTGTGTGGTGTGTGTGGATGTGTGTGGGTGTGTGTGTGTGTATGGTCTGTGCGTGTCTGTGTGTGTGTGTGTGTGTGTGGTGTGCGATTGGTGTGTGTGGTGTGTGCGGTGTGTTGTGTGTATGGTGTGTGGTGTGTGGTGTGTGTGTGTGTGTGTGTGTGTGTGTGTGTGTGTGGTGTGCGAGTGGTGTGTGTGGGTGTGTGCGGTGTGTTGTGTGTATGGTGTGTGGTGTGTGGTGTGTGTGTGTGTGTGTGTGTGTGTGGTTGTGTGTGTGTGTGTGTGTGGGTGGGGTGTGTGGTGCGACTGGTGTGTGTGGTGTGTGTGGTGTGTTGCGTTTATGGTGTGTGGTGTGTGTGAGTGGTGTGTGGTGTGTGTTGTGTGTACGGTCTGTGCGTGTCTGTGTGTGTGTTTGTGTGGTGTGCGAGTGGTGTGTGTGGTGTGTGCGGTGTGGTGTGTGTATGTGTGTGTATGTGTGTGTGTGTGTGTGTGTGTGTGTGTGTGGGTGTACTCACCTAGTACTCCCTATTGGGTTTGCAGGGGTGAGTCCACAGCTACCTGGCCCCGCCTCTTCCTGTTGCTACTGGTTGTGTGTAGTTGTTGTGTTGTGTGGTTGATGTGTGTGTGTTACCGGTAGTAGTTCGTGAGGCTCTAGTTTCCGTACATGGGCCCTGAGACCCTTGAGTTTCCTAGCTCCCCTAGTAGCCTCCCCCTAGCTCCCTCCCTAGCCTCCCCCCTGCCCCCC